TTGACTATATATATACACTCACACACACACACACACACATAGACATATATATGGATCAATTCAGCCTCTTTCTGCCCAACATGGATGCTGGCCACGCGTACGTGTATAATTTCTCAATTCAGCCTGTATTTTTCTCTGCTCAAGCTATTGTGTTGCTGCGTGACTATATATATAAGTATAATATTCAAAATTTGCAGCTCACTTTTCTTCCCGCAGAATCTGCCCTTTTTTTTTTTACTAATCAATGGCCGCCGTCTGTCTTTCTCCCAATTCTGTTGTGGCTCCCCCTTTTCGCCTCCGTCTGTAGGTATATACATATATATCAATATATGACATTCCTTCTATTATTGAGACCCAATTTACATAAGCCTCAGCCGCCAATTCTAGGGCAATTAGGATTCCCAATCCAATTAAATTATAGTCTCCCTCTCCACGTGAAACTCAAATTAAATTAATTCTAATTTCCAAGTCTACAATTCTATTGTGTACTGCAAGTTGAACCTTAAAATAAATTTATTTGCACAGCCCATGCCAGTTTAGTCCTNAAATTAAATTAATTCTAATTTCCAAGTCCTCAATTCTTTTGTGTACTGCAAGTTGATCCTTAAAATAAATTTATTTGCACAGTCCATGTCAATTTAGTTCTCGTATTTTGGATTTTTCCATTTTCCGCTATTTTATATTCTTTTCTTCGATTCTTCATTAAACATAAAGTTTTTATCTACAAACAACAATTTAACATAAATTAAACCGAATTTAATTCAAATGACAACAAAATATCATGATTTAGAGCCACGAATAAGTATAAAAACTACACTTATCAATCCCAAATTTGTACTTAACGGCATATTGTTCAAAAGAATACCCCCGTTTGTGGAAGAATAGTAAATTTTGGTCGTCAGAGTGTGAAGTTCATGTAAATGTCATTCGAATAGAGGCTAAAGTGCGATTCATGAGCTAAACCTATATGAGAGTATCTACAAGGTCAAGCCAAGATTCTACTGTAGGAAATAAAACAATAATATTTACCGTCATAAGATCGTTCATGTTGGATCATCAAGAAATAATTAACCAAAATCGTAAGCGTACTTGGATCAGACATGATTATCGCAATGAATAAGTCCTGCGGTTTCAGT